TTTTTTTCAGTTGCTGCTGGTTACTTTTTAAAACATGTGAAGACAGGGAAGTGTATTTACGCCACAACACTGTTAGAAAGTAGTGGCAACTGGGGAAAAGTTCTTTTTCTTGAACTTTCCAACAGCTGTCTAGACGACGCTGCTCAGTTTTGTAATCGTGCTAATGGAGCCATGTTTAATCTAAAAAGAAAAGGATGTCTCTATGCAGCTTATAAGTTTGGTAAAGGAAAACAACTTTATATGCTTTATCTTTACGTCAGCGACAATTTAGACCTTTCTGCTTGTGCCTCTCATCGTTCTATAACCCAGACGTCTTGGGGAGGTTTATCCACATATTACAAAGGCTACAAAGATAGCTTATTTCAAACCTGGTGTGCAGTCTCTCAGTCAAATAGCGCCCTTAGAAAAGAAGGAATAGATCCTTACATCCGAATGACGAAAGATTGTAACGAAGATGATGATAAACGTTTTAATTTTGGTAAGTTTTCTAAAGACTATTTTGTAGCCCCGAACTCCCGTAGTAATAACTACAATCATACCATATTTACCTAATTACCATTAGGAGACAAGAAGTGCCTAAAAAATATGTAGTTTTCACTGCTCTTATATGCGCCGTTTAAGTTAGCTGTGAGAAAAAATTGGATGCACTGCACCTTATGCTAGCAAACTGAGACACTGCTCTCGGAAATGAAAGATAGACAAGGATATTTCTTTCCTTTCGATAAGACACAGCACAAACAATGTAATTATATCTTAAAGTATAATTTCACAGTTAAATTAACTGACTTTAACTGTACGAAATACTATTTAAATTGATAGGTTCAGTGACATGTTACGGAGAGATGGTGAGGAACGCCACTTGTCCTGAGGCCAGCACTTCCCCAGGACATGTTAAGCAGTACATCATGGTCACCACTGCATCTTACCGTGGATTGTCAGACTCAAAGACATGTGGTTTGAGTGATGATTATAATTGTACAGTTGATGTAACATGTCTTGTTAGGAAACAATGTGATGGTCAACATGAATGTAATATAACTGTGAATGAAACCTTGTTCTCTGATGATATGTGCCCTGGATTGAAAAAATATCTTTACTTTGAATACCGATGTTTTAATGAAGTGAAACCTTTTAACAATGTTTGCGGTATGTATACAGGCATGTGTAGTGACTACAATTATATATAGGCACAGCACTAAAAATGGCATACGAAATCAAGACCACAAAATATTTGATCATGTTTTAACGTTTTCTTCAAGGATTTTCTTGTCTTGTAGTTCGTGGCATATCTTTATCAAATTCATCTTTGCCAAACGAAGGTATTGTACAAATTACCGCGAATAATTGGACCAGGAGTGTTTGTGCAGGAAGTTTAACAAACAAAGCCAATGATATTCTTTGCGTTCAAATGGGATACAAAAGAGCAGACTCTATTGTTAATACGCCGGTTCTACCAGATTCTAAAGATGAAATGTTTTCTGGAACCATAAACTGCAATGATGATGACAACGACCTATCTTACTGTTCGTTCAACGTTACCGCCTCAAGTTGTTCCCAGTTGTCATACATAAAATGTAAGTTTAAAAGATATAAGATGAGATACAAGAAATCAGTTGAAGAAGTGGAAATGAAAATATGACGTAGAGGTTTAAAGGTAATAAGCAATTCATGCAGTCTCCGTTTTTAGGTCATATTTGTAACAAGCCCCTGTTAGGAGATAAAGAAAGATTTTCTGATTCGTCATTCAATGCCTCAGTTTCTTCAGAACATAACAGAGCTTCTGATGCTAGAATATCCAGTGGTAGTTCTTGGTGTGCTCCTGTCTCAGATGGTGAACATTATCTTCAAGTAGATTTTAAAAAACTGTATTCGATATATGATGTCGCAACATTTAGTGACGGTACTAGTGCGAAATGGGTGAAGACGTATATCTTGAATTATACCACTGACTTGATAAACTGGAAACAATTTCAGGACGCTGGGTTTCAAAAGGTAGTCGCTATAAATCACCATATTAAATTTCAACGTAACGTCAACTTATATTATAGAATTCCTGCCAATTAATTACACTTTATAATCTTAGATAATTCAGGGAAACAAGAATCGTAATGACGCAGCCATAACAAGTTTAAATGGCATACCAGCAAGAGCGTTACGGTTTATTCCGTTATCATATGAAGGTCAACCTTGTATGAGAATTGAGATCTGCGGCGAAAGTAAGTTGATAAAATATAATCTAATTACGATCTCTCACACCATATAATGTTCTTCAGTTCTTGAGTCGAAAATTTCTATAGTTTTAGGAGCCGTTGGTTTCTTTGTGAAACATGTTAAGACAGGGATGTGTGTTATCGACACAGGAGTTGTGAAACATTCAGGCCCACTTTGGGGTAGCTTGTCTTTTTTGGAACTGTCTAACAACTCGTGTTTCGACAAAGCTGCTCAGTTTCGGTTTCGTGATAATGGCGCCATGTTCAACATTAAGAGAAAAGGATGTCTCGCTGCTTATTTTAAAATAAATTTTGGTTTCTATCACGACATTTTTTACCTTTACGTTCCCGCTACATCAATAGGATTAGAGTTTTCTGCCTGTGCGTATGACCCGGAAAGGGATATCTATCGTCCTATAACCCAGACGTCTTGGGGAGGTTTATCGATATATTATAAAGGATATGAAAAAAGCTCATTTCAGACCTGGTGTGCAGTCCCTAAAACAAATAAACAACTAGATCAACATTATGGAATTGATCCCTACATTGGATTGACAACAAATTGTAATGACACTGAGGATAAACGTTTCATTTTTGGTAAGTTTTTACAAAATTATATCTTCTCTTTCAGGAAATCCTATATATATTTATATACTCTAATGTTTCAATCCCATACCAAGGCAAAGGAAAATAATTATCGTCCCTGAAGGCTTTATCAGTTTGAAAGATCTAGTCTTTCAAACCTTTGTAATAAAAACAATCGAGACAAAAAAATTAAAAGTATGTCGTTTTAGGTTCAGTGACATGTTATGGAGAGTTAGTAGGGAATATCAATTGTCCCAAAAATCAGTACATGGTGGTCAAGACTGCATCTTACCGGGGATTGACTGACTCAAAGACATGTGGTTTCAGCGATGAATATGATTGTACGGTTGATGTAACATGTCTTGTTAAGAAACATTGTGATGGTCAACATGAGTGTAATATAGCTGTGGATGAAACCTTGTTCCCTGATGATTTGTGTCCTGGATTGAAAAACTATCTTTACTTTGAATATCAATGTTCTAATAGCAGTAAAGATTTTGAGAAAAAATGTGGTGCGTATACAAGTTTACCATTTAAAATCTTACCGCAAGTTTACGATTGATTGCATTATCATATGAACATTATGAAGGTCAATTATGCAAGCTGAGCATTTACATCTGTGTTGACAGTAAGTTCACTTTACCGGCACGATCTAATGTTCTCAGTTAAGAGGTATGTTATTATGGAAGCGTATCCAAAAACTGCATCATTCATCTTTCAGCCATGTTTCCAGATCAACCAAGAAACCTCACCGTCACAAGCATCAAGTCTAGAAATGCTAAAATATCTTGGATTGGTCCTCAAAATGAAGGATATTATGGTGTCTCACTGTTTAGAATCAAACTAAAGAAAGATAACTTCCTTGTTCTGAATACTACCACAGGAAAGATTTCAGAATATCTAATAAGTAATCTCACTCCGTACACAAGATACGTGTTATCCGTAGCTGCTGGCAATGTGAAAGGTTTTGGAGATGAGAAAATCACTTCGTTCTTAACATCGGAAGAAGGCAAGAGTTGAATTAATACAAATACAATGAAAATAACCGTCATATATATATAGAGAGCGTAAATTTAATCACGTCGGTGTGTTGTTGACGCGCCAATGAAGTCTAAAAAAGTTGGATGGAAACTAAACAAAATCAGTTGTTTAGGAAAATCACATTGAAATTATAAAGGACTTGTTGTCTCTTTTTGCATTTATTGACATAATTTAAGATAGAAACCGAAACTTTTATAAAAGAATGTTATTTTTTAATTATATACCTACAAACCTTGATTTTTGTTCTTTAGCACCAAGTGGTCCTCCATTAAACATTAAAACCACATCAAGAAGTACATCATCTTTGTCTTTCATTTGGGATCCTCCTGAAGAAAGTAAACAAAATGGCGTCATTATCGGTTATGCTGTGTGTGTTTTACCATCAAAAAAAGGGGGTTGTTTTCAGACAGTTACAACCAGTGAAAGATATTGGATTATCCGAAAGTTAAATTCGTCAACTAAATATTACATTCGTGTTCGAGCCAGTACCAAAGCTGGTCATGGAAACTACAGTGAAAGTAAAGGGTTTTTCACAAATGGAAGTAAGTATAACTAAATAATGCATAACGCAGGACAAGCGTTATAATTTGTTTTTTTAAAGTCCAGAAATGCAGGGATCTCTATAAAAAGAATATAAACCTAACACCCTAATCAACTGCTTCTTACATACAATACAGAACCCACAAAAAAAGCGCTAGAAAGAACATCAAGTACTGTAACATTTTCAATGGAAATACCAAAGACATTCGCGTGAGTATAAAGCCTGCGATTTGGTGAAATCTGTACATATTTTATAGACCACACACCAAGTATGCTTCATGCTTTTCTAGTTAATTTCATCCCCAGCAATGCAACTTTTATTTAACGTCAAGGAAAAAGCTGAGGAAGATGGCTGATACTGCTACTATATAGGATCTTGATACAATTTGTTTGGCAATTGTTTACTTTTAGGTATCTTTATGTTGTGGCCCTAAAATTAAAAAACGGTAAAGAGCCTGAATCAACTGATAGTTTTATGAACAATAACTTGGTGACGTATGCAGAGGCAAGAAGGTCAGCTGACCCGAAACCTTATATCGCTGCAGTATTTACGCCAAGCGATATCGATGAGCGCATGTTTATACTTGGTGATGGTAAAAATACAAGTGATCCAACGTCACCAAAGCGCAGATCAGCTGCCAGTGCCTATTATAATGGTCCGCTGGAACCTGGCTCTAGATACAGCATTTTTCAAAGGGTTATACTTAATGAACAGGTAGAAAATAGGATGTCGCTCTTATATCCGTACAAGTTTCCCTAAAAAGAAAAGCTGAAAACATCCTATTCAAATAGTTAATGCTCTGTTGCTCAACTCTCCCTAGAATGATTTTTACTCCACAGACTGGAGTCCAGCTTCAAGCACCACCGACTACACAGGTATATATCATGGGATAATAATGTACCGTTATAGTCATAAATAAATACATTATTCACAGTTAGAGCAGATAGCTTTTAAATACTGTTTTTATTGCTAATACTTGTTCTTTGCATGACAGGTAGTCCTCATGTGCTGACAAACATGTCCAGTGGTAACGTAATAGCAAAGGAAGGTGATCTTGTCAACCTGCTGTGTTCAGCTCAAGGTGAACCACCAATTACATTCAGCTGGGAAAAAGATCAGACGCCGCTTGGTGGGTTCATTGTAAAGGACATGCCTCATCGTAGTTCTTTGCTTGTTGTAACAGTGAAAGGCGGAAAAAGTTTTGGGAAATATATTTGTCATGTTCATGATCGATTTCAAAGCACAACTTACACAATCACTGTACAAAAACCTACAGGTATATAATTTCCCGTTTCAAATAGACAGATAAGAGATTGGATCATTTAATGATATTGAACTATGAAAAGGATTTGACAGATTTGTTGGACATGAAAAACTTTTAAATATTTGGGCTTCAAGACCAAGATGTTAGAAAAACATTTAACTCTGCGAACATGTTTCCAGTTCGATCTAACATTGTATGGGCAAAATTTAGATATTGAGCTATTGCCAAAGGCTATTTATTATTGCATTAGGAAGGCGTGACTAGAAAGTCGATGCGCGTCTATAAAAATTTCGTAAAGTTGTTCACTTGTTCTTGTAATCGTGTAAAACAATCCGTTGTTCTTGTATCGTCATTCAAACACTTGGCAAAACAGTCAACCATTCGGCAAACAGTGCTTTAACACCCCCTCCCCCCAAATGCGGACAGCTAGCGACGGCCCTGCTGACTGATCAATCAAGAAATTTGTCAGAATCTTGATAACGTATTTATTGTTCAATGTTTCTTTTTTACCACTTCTTCTTTCAGATTGCGGAAGTTTTGGAAATCACCTTGCAGGATTTATAGTTTTAATAATTATCGTCGTTTTTTCACTGATTATGAATGCTATTCTCTTTCATCGAATTCGTCATCTCAAATCATCAAGCACCATGAAAAGTTTGGAGAAGGCAGACCACAATTTAAGTGATATATATGAAAATCCAAACAAAGATGACGTCAACAATCATGAACAAGTGGAAGATGAACAGTCGACGTATACAGCTCTAAAAAGGAGTGGGAAAGACAAAAATGATGACCATGTATATAGTCATCTAAACAAAGTGAAAAAAGACTGCAAAAATCAGGATGAAACTGGAATTTAAGATGGTCGCCTATTGCACTTGGATCATTATAGTAATTATAAAAATGTGAACGTCTACAAAACCAGAATTTTACACTGAAAAAAACGATTGCGAATGATTATTAATTGTACCGTAAGAATTATAATAACTATATGAAGCTAGCAAGCAAAATTTTTCTTTTAAACATGCATTGTTACGTTTTTACTTTAGAAAATGAGACTGAAAATAGAAAGGGCTATTGCTATTACTGCTGAATTTAAAATTAAACGAGACTTTCCTGTAAGTTGAAGATTGATTTCGATTCTATGAGTCATCAGCCTGGAGTGTGAGAGTTGTACGAGAGAGAGTGAAGCGCAAGCGCCAATCAGTCTTTAGAGCTTTCTTTATACGGAACAAAGACCTCCCGGATGAGCGTGAGAGTTGACTGCAAGTAAGGGAGAGGACGAGTACCGGGAGGACGTACAACTCTCATACTCTGATGACTCATAGAATCCAAATCAAACTTCAACTCACAGGTAAGTCTCGTTTAATTCTAAACTCTATTTCGTCATCAGCCTAAGTCGTGTGTGACGTTGTACGAAAATTCAGAGCAATCCGTGAGGGCTTTGTTATGCAGTGATAAGCAGACCACTGTAACTAAAACCAGTGTGGTAAAAACGAAGCCAAGAAAGATATACCATTTTATAATAGATAAGTATAATTTCAATAACCCCAGCCTTTGTATCATAACAACCAAATTAAAAGTGCACATATGCACGATGTATCTAATATCCTAAGAACAATTAACGTTTGTATAGCACTCTAACACCGAAGCGCCAAAATTAAATTTCTCCTTGCTAAGCTTATTATAAAACCGTCAAAATGTCTGCTCATTCAACCATCCTGCGGATAACATAATATCCTTAATGTTTCAGTTATTTGACGCTAAAAAAGATGTAGTCATGTAGATGCTGCTCGAACACTGTGGCCTTTAAATTTGCTAACATCTAAACCTACATGTACAGCTACCAAAACAGACTTTATCCATCGAGATAATTATAGTGTCTTTGGAGACTGGACCATGTGGTTTAACATAACTCAGTAGCAATTGCTTTTTATCATGCCTATTTTCGTCAGTTCTTTTGATATACTCTAAGAGATGAGTAACGACACAAAGCTGAGGCTCCAGTGTATATTTCAAAAACTCGAGGGGTTTAATTAACATGGGTTCCGACACGCTTCTGTTTGACCTTCTCCATGACGTGGAAAGTGCACTTGTCCGCAACGAGAATCATGCTATGAACAGTGAGAAGATGAATAGTTTGACAGCGTTGTCCACTTAGTAAGGTCAATAAGAAGGAAACTTTTAAAGTAAGGGCCTTCAAAGTCAGCGCGGAAGGTATAGGCTGCCTTCGAAAAAACTCTAAGTCTAAGACTAGCTTGCTAACATCCCATGTTGTCTCGTAACGCGGTAGAGCCGGGCGCTGTTCAAATACCTTTTTCATAAAACGCCTAACAATTGGCAGTTTTCCGAAAGTGATCTCACTATCACTTAACTGCAAAACAGAAATTAATGAACACCTCGCCGAGTTGATTAAGCTATATATGACAAACCCGCGTCAAAAAACGATGACAGAAAATCTAACGTCCGTCGTAATGGAGGGGAGATTATATCACATTGTCTCTCCATACAAAATTTTAACCATTTCTGTAGATGGACCTGGTACTGAGATTTCGTGGTGTCTCTTCAAGAGGATTCAATGATATAATGGAACTTAACGAGTAGCCACGTTGTTGTAGCTGTTCCCGCAGACATGACAAACCAAAAGTTTGAACCAATAATCTTGGCTATCTGCTAGATAGGAATAATGTCTTTAGGACATTCAATAACATCATGCAAGCAATTTTAATCTTTTCCTTTTTCTCCTTGTAACTTGGATAGTCATTGTTATTGAGTTAATGACAAATCCTAAGATAATCACCTCTTGAGAGGGGAAAGTAGTGGACTTATCAGGATGGACCTATATAGGCGGTCAAATGTGTCAAGAGCATTTGTGGCACACTTACCATATATATATATCACCCTACAGATAGAAGTTATCAATATACCCACTAATAATATAGTTCATAGCTCTAAGCTTAGCCAGGGGTGGTTTCATAAGTTTGGTAAATTTTCTAGGACATGTAGCCAAACCATTAGGAAGGGCTACATACTTGAACAACTTGCCTCTATAGAAAAACTTTAAATATTTTTGGTAAGCTTGGTCTACCTTGACACTATAATAAGCATCCTTTAAATTCAATGTGGCCATCCAACAATTGTTAGTAACCAATTTCATTATGGTTTGGATACCTTCCATTTTAAAATGGAAATTTGTTATTTGTTAAGTTTAGTATCAATCTGAATTTGCCATCATTTTTTGGCACAGTGAAAACAGGAGAGATAAATTCTCCTGCCTCATGGTTACATTCTATAATAACCCTCTTTGCCTGCAGATCTTGAATTTCGGCATTAGCTAAGGCATAGTGCTCGTTACAAATGCTATTTGGTGTGGGCGATGATGTAAAAGGAATCTCGGGGAAGTCTAATTTCTCCCCCAAAACTGTTTCAAGTATAGAGCTATCTGAAGTAAATCTAGCCCATTCGGAATGGTAAGAAGACAACTGCCCCCCTTGGAAAACTGACACGCTTGTCCTATTATATAATTTAAATAGGCTACTATAAAAACAAAAAAAATATTTAACTGCGGTTGGGACTTTAAAATCGTGGGTTGTTCATGGATTTCTTCCTGAGTGGGGCAGAGGACATCTGTTGTTGACGATCGAAACCTTTGATGGAAGTTTTTCCTGTGTGGATATATTCCCTTCCCCCGTTGGCCTAAAAAAGGCTTCCAGGTAGGACAGGCGATAAGGATCGGCTCATCTTGAATCTGAATTTGACGTGTAGCGATTTCTGGTGCTTTCTCTGAAGCGTTGTCTAGTGATTCTCTGAAGCATGTTTTGGTGCTTTCTCTGAAGCTGGTTGAGAGGTCTTACCACGCTTATTAGCATAAACAAAACCAGAATTTTCGGTCTAAAGAACGGAGGCCATGCATGCGTTCCCGCCAAAAGTTTCCTCCCCTTTTGACGAGCTTGTGTTGCCTTGTGCAATCTTTTGTACGAGCAATTAATGCGTAACTTGCATGTCTTAACTCGCATGTTACTAAGCACTGCCAGCAATAGCTCATCTTTTGTGCTCGTTGAACCGTCACACGGCGACTGCTGCGGCAGACTGAGGGACTTCCCTCTGGACGGCAGGAACTATATCAACAATCTCGTCGCCTTCTGGAGACGACATGACAATTAATAACTACACACAAACAAAACAATAAAACATAAATCGATGACAACCTTGCTGCAAACTTTGTCTTTTGGCGAAACCCAGGACGGCTTCGCGATGGTTCCAAGGATAATTCTTCAAGCTCCAAACAACACAACTGATCACTGGCGCGGTAACAACACAACTGATTCAGAAAATGTTTAGGATTCTTTGATGAAGTACTAGGAAATTTACAATAATCAAACATGCATTAAAATTAAGTATAACAGTCCTACATACTATTTACAAAAACAACTAGACTCCCTAATGTTCGAGTTCCATTCCGACAAAGTGATGTGGAGTAACTATAGAATACTCTGCCACATGTAAGTGTTGTTTTCTTCTGGACTACATGGACTACAACACGACTACATGGCTGGATGACTAGATGGCTACATGGCTACATGGCTACGTGGCTACATGGCTACGCGGCTACGCGGCTACATAGCTACATGGCTACATGGCTACATGGCTACGTGGCTACATATAGCTACGCGGCTACATAGCTACATGGCTACATGGCTACATGGCTACATGGCTACATGCATGGCTATACGTGGCTACATGGCTACATAGCTACATAGCTACGCGGCTACATAGCTATACATGGCTACATGGCTACGTGGCCACTTGGTAACACCAACAAAATTGAAGGTCATTGGCGGCAACTGAAAGCCAACCTACCAACCCATGGAAGACGAAAGAATCATTATCCAACATATCTCGCTAAATTTTTGTGGAGATATA